CCATTTCCAATGGGTGGAGAGAATATATATATATATATATATAATGTTTTAAAATTTGACTTCAGGAAATGGGCAAAAGCACACAGAGCTTTCCTCTACCTTCATTTCTGCCCTGACAGTTCAAGACCAGCAGGGCACAGAATGCAATGGTTGAACCACCTCCAAATTCCCCTCCCTGACCTTAGGACTGCAGCTATATTTAGCTACCTGAACTCAACCTGAGTCTCCTGTTTTCAAAGCCATCTTGTTTTAATTGGATTGTTTTATTGTGGCCATTAATTATGGATACTTATATTTTGATATTTTAATGAGATAGTTTTATTGTGTATTTTAATTATGGATGTTTACAGTGAGTTTTAATGTCTGTATAATGGGTTTCTAGACTGACAGCCCTATCCACAGGCTCCAGTGAACATGTGAAGGACCCTCCGCTAATATTGGCAGCAGAAGTTTCCCATGTACTTTCTTCTTTCTTTGGCGATCCCTCGTAGCCAAGTAAGATTGTCTTCCATAAACACGGTTTTAACAATGAGTCCGTAAGTGACTGTGGAGGCCAATTCTGGATCCACACATCCTTCCACAGTGGGGACAATTGTTTCCAGGCAGGAGTTGATCATGGTGTGGATTTGCCAAGCGTGCCTTCCTCTTAGCACGTTTCTCCCTTTCGTCCTGAGTTTGAGTGTCTTCAAAACCCATGACACCTTTGGTAAAGGTACACTGAGGGCTCAGCCACACTTCTGGAAAACCTCTCAGGCCCATGATTTTGTGGTGCAGGACAAGCAGAAATATGGTTGAGCCCTTAGTTCTGCAAATGCAGCTCTTGTGTATATGAGGAGGACTGAGGAAGCCCCTGTTCCCTTAATACAAATAAACTTACCATTATTTTCATAGGACACCATCCTATTTTTTCCCCTAACATGTGAATGGCATTGTCCCAGTGACAATGCTGTCACACCCAACTACAGATGGAAAAAAACCAACAACAACCAAGGACATGTAAGTGATTCACTAATTTTTTAAAAAAACCAAACAAACAAACTGCAACACTCATTTCCCAGGCACTGTACCTTAGAGAACACGGAAGGTGTTAAGTCAGCAAGAACCCTATATCAAAAGAAGCCAATGAATCAACTTAGAGATAATGTGTCTCTTGCATCACTGGAGGTAACTCTAGACAACTCCAGATTTTATTATGATTATCAGCCTTAAGGCTCAACTTTGATTTGGATGTTTTGTACCAACCAGTGGAAGAATTGGTAGTATACAAATGCAGATCTACAAGGAGGAAATGGAAAGTAACATGCTACTTCTGCAAACGAGAGAGAGAGAGAGAGAGAGAGAGAGAGAGAGAGAGAGAGAGAACTCCTTAGTATATTCCCATTCTTGCCCCCAGCCCCTCCTTTTCTTCCTTGTTTCCTAAGAAAACTGTAATTCAGACCTTGTGAGTTCACTTAAGGACAACTCAGCCTTCAGCCTCCCTCCCCCTTCTCAATTAGAGAGGCCTTCATTAAGAGCCTTCACTAAGAGCCCTGTAAATGCTGTAAATAAATCAGTTAACCTGGTAACACCTGTCCTAAAAGGTAAAGGTAAAGGACCCCTGGCAGTTAAGTCCAGTCGTGAACGACTCTAGGGTTGCAGTGGTCATCTCGCTTTATTGGCTGAGGGAGCCAATGTTTGTCCACAGACGGTTTTTCCAGGTCATGTGGCCAGCATGACTAAGCCGCTTCTGGAGAAACCAGAGCAGCACACGGAAACGCCATTTACCTTCCCTCGGGAGCGGTACCTATTTATCTACTTGCACTTTGAGGTGCTTTCAAACTGCTAGGTTGGCAGGAGCTGGGACCGAGCAACAGGCGCTCACCCTGTCATGGGGATTCGAACCGCCAACCTACCGATCAGCAAGCCCAGGGCTCAGTGGTTTAACCCACAGCGCATCCCTAACACCTATCCTATGTGCAGCTAAATGCAATAGATGACCTTCAAAGTACAAAAGGCCATCTAGTTTAGTGTTGTTTAGTTTAGTTTTTAGTTTAGTTTAGTTTAGTTTAGTTTAGTTTAGTTTAGTTTAGTTTAGTTTAGTTTAGTTTAGTGTTTCCATAGCAAAAAGGCACTGCAAAAAGCTACACAATGTTCTGCATCAGTGGCGTAGCGTGGGGGGTGCAGGGGGGGCCGGCTGCACTGGGCGCAACATCTGGGGGTTAGGGTTAGGGGGCGCAAATCCACGGGTTAGGGGGCGCAAATCCACGGGTTAGTTGCCTTGCCCCGGGTGCTGACAACCCACGCTACGCCACTGTTCTGCATCCCAGCAATTAAGCTGGCTGAGAAGCCTTTCTTCTCTCTCTCATCAAACCTAGGGCTTCAAGTTGCCCAGAGACAGATAAGGCTTCTTAGAAAGTGACAAAACTTCATATTTAGTCCCTCCCTGTGCCCCCTCTGATGCCCCCCAAATAATTTTTGGGGTCAGGAGAATCCCCAGAACAATGTGAGGGGAGGAAAGGGGGATAATTCCATCTGTCAAACTGCAATGTTTGTGCTGACACAATGTTCAGCGCAGTATGACATTGAATTCCGCATACACTGTCTTGAAAAATGGAGGCTCTGTTTTTCAGCCTTCAAGATTAATTAGCCATTGATAGACCTTTCCACCTGTTTTCCAAAGTCAATATACATGTGGAAGTTGCAAATGGGGCTGTCAATTCAATCCCACTCCTCCATTGTTGCTCACGTGGGAGAAAATGAAGAAGACCCATAATCTTATCACAACTAGTGTACACTTCATGTACATAAGCATATGTGCACTTACTCATGTTTGTGTAACTTTTGCTTTGCTGTTTGGCAAGAGGTCATTCCCTTCAATTTCATTTACTAGGTTTTTTCCTCTATTGCATGGGTTGGCAAACTAAGGCCCGGGGGCCGAATCCAGCCCAATCGCCTTCTAAATCCGGCCCACGGATGGTCCAGGAATCAGTGTGTTTTTACATGAGTAGAATGTGTGCTTTTATTTAAAATGCATCTCTGGGTTGTTTGTGGGGCCTGCCTGGTGTTTTACATGAATTGAATGTGTGCTTTTATTTAAAATGCATCTCTGGCTTATTTGTGGGGCATAGGAATTCGTTCATCCCATATATATATATATATATATATATATATATATATATATATAGTCTGGCCCCCCACAAGGTCTGAGGGACAGTGGACCGGCCCCTTGCGGAAAAAGTTTGCTGACCCCTGTATTCTATCGTTCTGCTAAGAGAAAATCCAGTGGTTTGTCACTGTCCCATTTTTCTTGCTTCTATCTGATTATTTAACAGAGCAAGAACATTGTGTACTTGGTGTAAAAGGAAACTGAAATCTAGGTTTGCAAAGCCAGTGGGAGGAGTTCCTTGAGGGAAGCCGCACGTCTTTCATTGCTCCTTGTGGGTGGTGGTTAAGCGCTTGGTAGCATAAAGTTACAAAACTAAGGCGAGACACTAGCCGTTCATTTGGCCGTCTCAGCAAAAGGTGAATCAGCATGAGGTTTCCCACTTAAGGGAAGGTCTCACTTGCATACGCAATCCTGTGCACATGACTCTACTTCAGTCATGCTGCTGCAATCTCAGATGTTCTACCAGGGGTGCCAACTTGAATAAAGTACGTGGGGAGCAGGTAAGCCCCACCCCATATAACTGATTACATGACGTGGCACACAAACACCATTTGAATGGAAATGCCCTTCAGCTTTGGGGGCCATTTATGCTACAAAGTTTTCCACAAGTTTAACTTTCATGGCTATTCTCGAAGAATCCTGGAAATTGATGTTTGAGAAGGTTCTCAAAATTAGGAATAGAGGGGCAAATTGGATTATTATTGCATTTTAATGAGAAACTACCTAATTTGCACTTTTTTTTGAACAGGGTGATTAAAGGGCATTATGGAATCTGGAGTCACAGACAGGCCTGGGTCCAATGCTTGTGGTATGTATATACTCCAGATTAGAAGATCCTCCCGCTGTCAAGCTCTGTGCCATGTGTCAGTCCCTTTCAGTCTATCTTGCCCTGTCCCCTCCATCATCAATTCCTTGCCTGCCCTCCCAGTTTTACATCTGCCTCCACTTCCCTGCCCCCTCCTCCAAAGCCTCCTATTCTGCCATCCCCCTCTAAAGCCCTTTCTCCACCTCCCTCTGCCTTGCTTGGCCTGTTACTGGAAGTTTGGGCTGTGAAGTTCACACCTGCGATGGGAATGGACCCCAACCCCATATTCTGTTCCAGCAGAGAATGGAGATACACACACAGAGAGAGAAACTGTTCTCACAGTGGCTACTACCCTGTTTTCCCGAAAATAAGACAGTGTCTTATATTGATTTTTGCTCCCATCGATGCGCTAGGTCTTATTTTCAGGGGATGTCTTATTTTTCCACGAAGAAGAATACGGTACACATTTATTGTCTAATTGTGAGTCAGCCAGACTCCGTCAGGGCAGAGCGAGCGGCAGGTGGCAGCTTGTCCTGGTGGTGGTGCGGGCTCTCTGATTTAAAGAGACCTTGCACTGCCTGAACAGCAATGGCTGCACTGTGGCCAATCAGTGAGCTGCGTGGTGGCGTCCGCCGCTACGGTCCAGAGGAGTCAGACGCCTTATGGTAGCTTCAGGGGCCTTATATTCCAGGGAGGCCTTATGTTCGGGGGAGGCCTTATTATTGGGGAGGTCTTATTTTCTGGGGGTGCCTTATATTACAGCGAGAGGCAAAACTGGAAGTAGGTCTTATTTTCAGGGGATGTTTTACTTTCGGGGAAAGACGGTAGATGCTTATGGGAAACCTGCAGGCAGGACCTGAGTGCAAGAACACTTTCCTCTCTTGTAATTTGCCACTTCCTGGTATACAGAGACACACTACCTCTCACAATGGAGGCAGAAGAAGGTCATCATGGCTAGTAGTCATTGAAAGCCTTATCCTCCATCCTAAGGCTTTCATAATTACTATCCCAGCATAAAAGCTCTTGGCAAAAACCCAGAAGACACCATTGTTCTCTTCACTTAGAGTTTAATGAGCTGCAAGTGATCACACGCGAGAGGAAAGGAATCACCACCAAAACAAAAAGATTTTCAAGGCCATTACAAAAAGAAAGAGAGAATGTGGAGCACAAAGCAGCTAAAGTTAAATCTGGATAAGCCGTTTTGCTTTCAATAGGAATGACTTAAGCATATGCTTAAGCTCTCTCATTGGCGTCAATGGGACTTAAAGGAGTGTGACTTTGGCAAGATCACATGCCCCTACCTTTCAGCTGCAGGTATTTTGCATATTCATTTAAGTAAGTAACCATTATGACTCAGCAAAACCACAGGCAGGTAATCACAGGAGAGTAGCTGGAAAGATATTCATTTGTATCAGGGCATTTTTTCCCCAGCCAGAACTCTCCAGAACCTCTCAGGTGGGCACCATTGCCATTTAAGAGAATGAGGGAGGTGCTTATGGTGAGTTCCAGCACCTCTTTTTTTCTAGAAAAATAGCACTGATTTGCATGAATGAGCAAAACATGAAGGCTGTGTTCACATAAGCAGTTTTTGATGTAATTCACATTATTTCCTCATCAGGTTTCATTCAGAGGAGTTAGAATGTAGACAAAATAGCAGTACTCTTTAAACGTTATGAGAATCAAACAACCTGACTCCTAGAATTGTTTTCTCGTGTGAACCGTACCTATCCAGAGTGAAGCCTGTTCCAGGTGTTTCAATCCACCAAAGAGATAAAAGTGTCTCCTCAGTTGAAACACAGCCAATGAGAATTCTGGGATACCTAGGATAGAGATATTCCTCCTTGTAGGCCACAGGGCAGAGTGCTGCTCTACATAAAAGATGTGTGAATGGTACAAAAGCAAGGCACACATTGCCTAGAATAACCTCTATAGGACTACCTAATACTGTTTGCCCTTGTTCATGCAAACACAGCCTTCACATATTACACATATGTTGACTAGACCTAATTACGTTAGGGGCATGAAATGTGTCAACAATGAGTTAAGAACAAAGGGTGGGTTACAGACTAAGTTTGGGTTGGGTTGCTTGGGTTGGATACTGAAGACATTAGATGAACTAAGGTCCCACTGACATAAATGAGACAAGTTAGCAATGACAGGAATCACAGAACTCAATGGTACTTAAGTTCAGCTAAGTCAGTCTGTATCCCACCCAAACAATGCAAGACTTAAAAAATATCCTGGGAGAGCAGCCATAAGGGCCATAAGGGGCACAGTCCATTTTTCTGAAAGGCGCCAAGATTTTGTTCAGGGTGGCTTTGCAGATGTCTTCAGAAAAATGGTTCTTTCATCCATGCTGATGTTGTCATCACTGCACCTGTTGCTTCTTATTTCCTGCTTGAAGACTTGATGGAAGTGGAGGATGTGGTGGTCTTTTTCACAATGGTGCCTCCGGAACTATATCCTCCTCCGTATCCTCCGCCGACAGAGCAAGCTCCCCCACCTCCTATGCTGCAAACACCTCTTCCGCTTCCAGAGCTGAATCCACCAAGGCCACCAGATCCTCCTCCATAGCACATTCCACCTCCAAATCCACCTCCAAATCCACCACCATATCCACCGCCAGAAGTATTAGAGGAGCCAACCATAGCTAGAAAGGAAGACAACCATGGTTAGCATTGTGGTGGTTTTATGGACTAATATGGCCAACTAATGCCTGGAATGTAGTTCTCTAGCACTGAGCTTGGGGGTGGTGCTACTTCATGTCTGTTCCAGGGCATTCTGTCCCAAGAATGCACCAGTGGAGCATGCAAGCCATTGCCTGAAGAGATGGCAAGTCATTGAAGAAAGAAAGAAGGAAAACTCCCAGCTACTTTGCATCTTAAAATAAGACAAGTGAAGCCTCCAGGGCCAAGGAGTCATCCGTGTGATGAGAGTCAGTTGAGAAAGTGTGTGGCATGTAAGGGCTTAAGCACTGAACTAGACCTAAAGCAGGGGACCTGTGGCTTTCCAAATGTTGCTGAACTCCAGATCCCATCAACCCTCACCAGCATGGCCAATGGTCAAGAATGATGGGAGTTACAGTCCACCAGCAGCTGGAGGGCCACAGGTTCCCCACCCTTGCACTAAAGGGATGCTGGGTTCAAAACGATCCCCATTCAGCCATGAAGTTCATTGGCTTGCTTTGAATAAGTTAAAAATGTTATCAACCCATGAGCATGAAGCAATGCAAACCACGGCATCGCATACAAAAGTTGTTTCCACGTGGTATTTTTGTAACATTTAAAATTGGGGACAGAGAAACCGTGGCCCTCCAGTTCATCATCCCTGACTTTGTTGAGTTTCAACCTCTTTCTGGCATGTTACTACAGCACACTGGAGTTGCACCAACACAGTTGCATTTGTAGTAGTCAAAATGTGTTCAGGATAGCGCAAGGGGGGATCTTCCACAGCCCTGATTCCACATTCTGCATCCACAACTTTCCTTCTGTGTCTGTATTTATGGTGCTTAAGAGCTTGGTGCATATCTACTATGACCACTGTTGTCAAAACCACATCAAGACACAGTGGTGCCAGTGCATGCCATTTTCCAGAGCAGCTGGTTATAGGATAGTGCCACTAATTTTAAAAGTTGAGAACAGAGTCACTACTTACAGATGCTCACGGTGCTCTGACACTCTCCAGACATCCTGTGAAGGAGAGAAAAAACCTGATGTTTAGGCAAGAGATGAGATCCAATTGGGCATTCATACACAAAATGCTGAACAATAATGAACAAATCCTTTGAATCCCTTTGTTGCTTTCATCATCAGGCACTGTGAAAGCGAGTGCTGTGCAGTGCAGAGAGCAGATAGGGTTAGACACAGGAGACCTGGGTGCAGCTGCTGGCTTGGCCATCAAGATCACTAGTGAATAATGTAGGCATGATTGGATAGACGGCCTTCGTTTCAAGAGTCAGGGACACCCTTTCCAGAACTTGCAATTCAGATAGGCATGATCCTTCAGCTCACACTAGCCTGCCACAACTTCCAGTGGTTGCTGCACCTGCACAGTCCACATTGTAAATCTCTCCCAGCACTGGAAGCAGAAGCAACCCCAGAAGAACGATATGTGCCTTTGTTTGTGACGTTCCCAACCTCTCTCCACCAGGAGAAGCAGCAGTAGTAGTAAAAATTGCAGGTGTTCTTTATATGCTTCATATTCTTATTATGACTTATTTTATTGTTGTAAGAGGTATGATCTTTGTTGTATATTTTGCATATAGCAATATAGAAAGGGGGTATACAAATTAAAAGTGAAATGAAAATATTTGGATAGATGCCTTTGGGCTGGGGTCTAGCTTTGCAGTAAGTAAAGTAACAAAAAAAATCAGTCTTTTTTAAAAGGAGGAGAGAACCAGCCCCCCCCCAAAAGACCCAGGACTCCAGTACCCTGAGCCACCCTCTTAAAATATCCCTACTTCCCCTGTTCTTGCCACAACAGCCACCTAAACCCTCTCAATCAGGAGTTGCACTGTCACAGCCTAACCTCAGCTCTTACTATTCCATCAAGCTTAACCATGGCTTAATCTGAGCCAGACCAGTTCACTTGTGTGCACAGTATGCAGTACATCAGGGATGGGCAAACAATGGCCCTCCAGATGTTGCTGGACCACAGTTCTCAGCCTGGACAACCATCAGAAATGGTGGGAGTTGTAGCCCAGCAATGTTTGTAGATCCTACGATTCCCCATCACTGCGGGACATGCTTTCCTCGCCAATGGGTATACATTGCCCACCCTTACATTTCTGATCTCGTGGACCAGCCTTCCCAAGTGGGCTTCAGTCATGGCACCTCACCTTTTTAGAATTTAACTGCTGGACTCAGTCAAACATTTCATGGCCTTCCCTCTCCCCGCCCCCAAGAGGAAAGAGGAGCAGTTATGCAATGAAAGCTCCAGTTTGATTTCCTTCTCTTTTTTTTCTTTCTTTTTTTTTTTTTTTGGTCTTCTTTTCAGCAAAGTCCAGATACACACCTCCTTCCTGTGCATCACACTCACCTGCTCTCCTCTCCTTCCAGCAATTTCCTGTAGGTGGCAATTTCAATATCAAGCGCCAACTTGACATTCATCAGCTCCTGGTACTCCCTCAAGAGACGGGTCATTTCTTCCTTGGCCTTCTGCAGGGCAACCTCCAGTTCATTCAATTTGTCCCTGGCATCCTTGAGGGCCAGCTCACCGCGTTCCTCAGCTTCTGCAATGGAAGCCTGCAGCTTCTCACACTGAAAGGCAAGAGAGGCATTCGAAAAACTGATTATTGAAATATCATTTTTATTTTTAATACCAGCAGCACCATTCCTCCTGGATGCAGCGGCCCCCTACATCCCCTGGGAACCATTTGTGAGTGCCATTTTTTTTGTGCAAGGCAAGGTCAGGAGGTAACACCCAAACAAAGTGGCCATCCTACTTCAGCCTGATATCTCTTGGCTTGCCTTGAGTTGTGTTACTAAATGAATTGCTGCAGTTAAGACAACAGCACGGGACTAAGATGACCAGATTGTGAAATTCCAATAAAAACCTCTGCCCCCCTCCACCCTAGGGTTAATCTTGCATATATTCCTCCAGCCTTACCTGCTTCTTCACATTATCTATTTCAGACCGTATCCTCTGAATCATCCGGTTCAGTTCAGAGATCTCGGTCTTGGTGTCACGGAGACTGTCACCGTGTTTCCCAGCAGTTTGCTGCAGCTCCTCGTACTGGAATTCAGAAAGAAGAAAGGGGTCAAATTGTGTTATGTCAGAGAAGAGAAATCTTCTTCAAACAAAAACCCAGCTGAGCAATGGCTCAGGTTTTGCCAAACCCTCTGACACCCTTCCAAGGTTGTCCCCCAAAAAAGAAAGGAGTGTTTCTGCAGTGCTTGGTGGACCAGCCTGATGAAAAGCTTACCTACAAGTGATTTTGAAGCAATACTGGTAGATTACTAGCCAGTTTCCAGTGGACAACATGGCACCTTGGGGAAGGGCAATAGCTCAGTGGTAGAACATATACTTCGGATGTGGAAGGTCCTAGGATCACTCCCAGGATCTACATATAGGGCTGGGGAAGTCTATGAACCAGCCATGGGGAACCTGGGACCATCCAAATGTTGTTGGACTACAACTCCCCGCATCACTGATCACTGGCCCTGCTGGCTGGGTCTGGTGAAAGTTGGAGTCCAATAGCATCTGGAGGGCCACAAGTTCTCCACCTCTGCTTGTAAGCCCCAGAGAGTCGCTGCCACTCTGTGTAGACAATACTCAATCAGATGAGCCAATGGTCAGAGCTAGTATAAGGCAGCTTCCTATGTCCCAACTGCTGTTTGGTGGGCTTCTTTGTAAATAATGGGGGCCTTTTGTCTGTTCCAGAAACGCACTACATTGTATGTTCATAAGCATAGACAGGACCACTTCATTCAGGGTTGTTGTGGCTCAACTGGCAAGAGATTTTGAACCCACACTCTTGCTTTGCGAATGTAAAACACATTGGAAAACCATGGTGATTCTAGTTAAAATAAAGCAAAGCGCACGGAGCTGAAGTCGGATCACTCCTAATTTAATACATTGCCTTGTGTTCATTTGGCCTTTCCCATTAATGAACCACAAGAGTTTCTTTGCTTGTTTGGATTTGGTTTTTGCTCAAGGAGGTCATTTTAGACTGGCAAGGCTTGATAGGCCTGAGAACTCACCTTGCTCTGGTACCAAGACTCTGCTTCTGCTCGGCTCTTCTGAGCAATTTCCTCGTACTGAGCTTTGACCTCTGCAATGATGCTGTCCAAGTCCAGATTCCGGTTGTTGTCCATTTGGAGGACAACGGAGGTGTCAGAAACGGTCTGCTGCATCTGGCTCAATTCCTGCCAAAGAAATCGAATTACTGGTTTTTGTAAGCTGCCATGGGAGTCCATTTGGTTAAAGTGTAGAGTACATCTACCTTAAATAAATAAATATGTAGACAGCGCCATGGTCACATCATGTTTTTTCACCATAAATGTTGATTTTATCACTTACCTCTCCCCTTGGTAGAGGCATTTGTCTATTTTTTTTTCTAAAGGTGACTAATGGATGTGGTAGTCCATATTGGCACACCTGCAAAAGGCCTGTCCTTCTAAAAACTATGCTTAGAACTTTCTTGCATCCCAAAAGCTGGACATGAAAATTAGCTGTTATAATACAGTGGTACCTCGGGTTAAGAACTTAATTCGTTCCAGAGGTCCGTTCTTAACCTGAAACCGTTCTTAACCTGAGGTGTGCTTTTGCTAATGGGGCGTCCTGCTGCCGCTGCACCACTGGCATGCGATTTCTGTTCTTATCCTGGGGCAAAGTTCTTAACCTGGAGCACCACTTCCTGGTTAGCGGAGTTTGTAATCCAAAGGGTCTGTAACCTGAGGTACCACTGTACACTAGTCAAATTGCTGTCATAACAGCAGATGATGTTGCATGCATGTGGATTTATGCATTGCAAGGATGTCTTATGGAGAGGATGCAATGTACTTTTGCACCTTCTGCAGAGCAATGAAGAACATAAAAGATTTCCCATTATAGTGAATGGGGAAACTGTGAGCTTCATTTTAGACAGAGTAGTTCAGGAGATGAATTACAGGTCGAAGCGGAGACAGCCCAGAGTGACTCAGAAGCAGACTGGAATTTTTACAAGCACACAGGTAGAAGGGGAAACTTAGGACCTGTGCACACCCCTAATACTTAATTAAGCAATGTGACACCCAAAACAGGTAGTCATCAGATACAGAATAATTTCCTAATCTAACATTTTAGACTAGCCTAACTTTCATAACAGCAATCCCAACTCTTTTACATATGCTTCCATTACCTCTCTAATATCCACCCCTCATTTCCATATCTCTTCCTCCAGTTGCCATTTCCCAAATGACTCTCTACCTGTCACTCACTCTTAACTCCACCCCAAAATTCGCATCATTCTAGTGTTCTCCCAGGAGGCCACAAAAACTCAGCAAGACTACTTACAGCGTCGTACAAGCATCTCAAGAAGTTGATTTCATCTGTCAAGGAGTCCAGTTTCGCCTGCAATTCTACTTTGTTCATGTAAGCAGCATCCACATCCTGAAGGAAAGGACAGAGAGAAGTTCATATTTTGCACACAATGATGGAGGCAAACACACACACAGTTCTTCTAAATGCCAGTATGTGAATAGCTACTTGCACCGCCGAATCACTGCAAAGGAGACAGGAAGAGTGGCACACTTACCTTTTTCAAGAGCACAAAGTCATTCTCTGCTGCCGTGCGCTTGTTAATTTCTTCCTCATATCTGGTCAATGCAAAGAAAGAACATCAGGTTTAAATACTTGCCTTTTCTATTTGCACAGTTTTGTGTGTCTTTTCCAACATCTATCTACACTCCCCAATTTCTTGTAAAAAAAAAAGTCCAATTTCTTTTAAGAAACTAAAATCTTGGATGCAACAGAAGATAATAAAATAGAAGTAATGTGTGAAATATTGCTTTGTTATTCCACAGCATTGTTTGATTAAAAAATCTTGGTCCAGAATTTTTATTTAGAAAGACTAGATCAGGAGTGGGTGGGGTTGAGCAAAGGACATCTAGCCCTGCCTTCTTCTTTCTAGATTTTCTTAACAGTCAAAGGCCTTGTGAATTTGCTTGGCCTGCAAGTGAAAGAGAATTACCAATCCCCAATTTTGTGGGTTACTTGATATCCTAGGTTTATAACTCATAGAACATTCTTCATTGTTTCCATTCTTCAGACACTGTCCTCTGCCAAGAGGCATTCTACATTCTTTGGCATCAGACAAACAAAGATTCTGTTGAACGCCATCCTGATTTACAACATACTTTCCTGGCTCAAGAGTTTATTAAATTACAGTACCTATTTTCAAGTGCCACCAAATGCATACCTTAGGGCTGCCCAATGGATCAGTTTGTCAGAATTCAAGCTGCGGGTCACTGTTTTTGCTAGGATTTACAGCAGACATAGCCAGTGTGGTGCCTCCCTGATGTTTTGAGCTACAATTCCCATCAGCCTCAGCTAGCATGGCCAATGGTTAGGGTTCTAGTGTACAACATCTGAAGCCCACAGTATTCCCTGCCCACTTATAGCGTAGTGTAATCTTGTTACTGAACTTCATTGAGTCTTGAGCAATGAAAAGCAAAAACAATTTGTAAAATCATATATTTCAACGTTAGGAGTTATTGGAAATCAACCATAGTTTTTCACCTTAGCTGCAATAATTATAAAGGTGCAAAGAGCCCCAAAAAGATACAATCACTTGATTTTACAAAAAAGACCTTAAAAAACACCCTGGTTACTCTGTACATCACACAGGATGTATACTATGTCCGTGAGTCACCTCATATATAACAGTGAATCAGATCATTCAGTGTGATATAGTAAGTAGACCATGGAGATTCAAGTTCAACTCCACATTCCGCTCAGTGAATGATCTAGGGAAGGTCTCACAGAGAATTTGGGAGCATAAAATAGAATAATCCCTTTCCAAATCCATCAGATTTCTACCAGGGTCAAATTCAAGAGGACGTTAGGTCACACCAGAAACATGACACCATGATCAAATTGTGACTTCTCACTGGCACTGAACATTCAGTGTTGAGTGCCCAAGCTAAGAGGGAAACCAAACACACACACATCTGAGGCCTTCTGTACTCTAATTGTGGGTATATATGCTTTTGTTTAAAATAAATAAATAAACAAACAAACTGAAAGTTAATATTTCTATTTTCTGTCATCCTAGCATCAGCAAAAGGCCAGGTCTGGTTTTTCAAATATGTAGTCTGGTCCTGGCCTAGCCCATCCACCTTCAATTGCACCAGCGGGGAAGATCATTTATTGATACCAAATTCTTTTGGTTCTATAATCCCTTACTTGTTCTTGTAATCCTCCACAAGATCTTGGAAGTTCTTCAGCTCTGATTCCAGGCCTCTCCTCTCATTCTGAAGACAATCAAGCTGCTTCCTGAGGTTGTTGATATAGACCTCAAAGAACTGATCAAGGTTCTTTTGACCAATGCCAGTCCCTTGGCCCTGCTCTTGCAAGAGTTTCCACTTGGTCTCCAGAACCTTATTCTGCTGCTCTAGGAAACGGACCTGAACCAAACAAAGAATAAGGGTGGAGAAAGAAAGGGTTATTATGATCATGTACTCTAATTGCCTTTAAAGGGGAAGGCAGTTTCTGGGGTAAATCGCTATTCCTGTTCTGTCCCTGTTTTGGTTTTTTGAAGAGCTTGGAGTTCCTTTTTTAAAAAAATGATGCTAATGTGAATTTCTATAGAGCAAACTTTCTCTTCTCTGCTTCTTTGAAGCTAAATAATAGAATCATAGAATTGTAGAGCTGGAAGGAACCCTGAAGACCATCTAGTTCAACCCCCTGCAAAGCAGGAACATGCAGCTGTCCCATACGGGGATTGAACCTGCAACCTTGGCATTATCAGCACCACACTCTAACCAACAATGTCAGAAGGGACTGCCATGTATTAACATAATATGTGCATATGTAGAGAAGCCTTCACCAACTGATAACCTCCAGATGCTCTAATTCAACACTCCCACCCACTCCCAGTTGTGCTGGCTGGGGATGATGGGAGTTGTAGTCCAGGACATCTGGAAGGCACCAGGTTGTCCAAAGTTGGCAGTGGCATAATGCGCATCCTGCTATTTCAAAGGTTGCAGTTGGTTAAGCTTAAGTTTGAAATGTAGGTAATATATTACAGGAGACAAGTCAGGCTGTTTTAGCATATCTTTAACCAGAAGAACAAGCTTACTGTTTAACTTTGGGATAATGCAGAATCAATGGATGCACATACAAAGAATAGTGGCGACAGGGATGTTTTAGCAGTGCTCCTGAGGTAGCAATATGAATGACTGCAGGCACAAAATGAGTATCCCTCTTTTTATCTTTAAAATAGTGGAGGAAATTTATTAACCTTCAGGGCTGGAGAGAAGATTGTGTCAACAACACCTGCCCATTGTCTCATTACTGTTAGTGGCTCTGTTCCACTCAGGCTCTTGCGCAAAGCTACAGAAGCCACATTAAAGCCACTTTCAGTTACGCCACATGTGATCTGACCCAACCTTCACAGTTTCCTTCTAAAGAGCAAGAGCCCTGCTCCTTCTCATACAAGCCAGGCTGCCCTTGCTTTCTGGAGATGAGGATGTGGCCACTGCCTGCATCATGATGAGGGTGTGACCATCACCTCCTGGGCTTTTAAAGCATCCAGGTATTCTTCACATTGCTCAACTCCTGGATAACTGAAACCACAGTAACTGGTGCTGGATTCTGACCAGTGTCCTCTTATGGAGTACTGGGCATGGCCATTAGCCCAAACTTGCCTGCTGATGTTGCTTTCTCCTAACACCACTTAGGCATAGAATAGAATCATAGAGTTGGAATAGACCACAAGGGCCATTGAGTCCAACCCCCTGCCAAGCAGGAAACACCATCAGAGCACTCCTGACATATGGTTGTCAAGCCTCTGCTTAAAGACCTCCAAAGAAGGAGACTCCACCACACTCCTTGGCAGCAAATTCCACTGTCGAACAGCTCTTACTGTCAGGAAGTTCTTCCTAATGTTTAGGTGGAATCTTCTTTCTTGTAGTTTGGATCCATTGCTCCGTGTCCGCTTCTCTGGAGCAGCAGAAAACAACCTTTCTCCCTCCTCTATGTGACATCCTTTTATATATTTGAACATGGCTATCATATCACCCCTTAACCTCCTCTTCTCCAGGCTAAACATGCCCAGCTCCCTTAGCCGTTCCTCATAAGGCATCGTTTCCAGGCCTTTGACCATTTTGGTTGCCCTCCTCTGGACACGTTCCAGTTTGTCAGTGTCCTTCTTGAACTGTGGTGCCCAGAACTGGACACAGTACTCCAGGTGAGGTCTGAATGGAGGATCTCCTTCCTCCATTCTAGGCTTTCCTTTGCATTGCCCACAAGCAGGGAGACCTTCCAGTTGTGTGTTCTGTACTGCAGCCACTACATTTTAGCCTCCCCAAGACCCTTGAGTCACAATAGGCGGCTGAGGGATGCAATGAGGAGGTGACCAGAAAAGGAAATAAGGGACAAGGATTTGTTGCATCACTGATGCACGTATGATGCAGGTCAGCTGTGCAATCAATGCACATCTAACGCCCTCAGTTTAGTGGGATTCAAAATAGCTTCCACCCTTTCCTATCTATAGGGTCACTAAAGGATCAACATGGTAGTTTCTGGGTATTGGTCCAGGATTGTCCTGGGGAAGAAACATATGCCCACCTTTCCCCAGATTATCTTTCACTGCTTACTGATTAGTACTGACAACATTATGCAAATGGGCATGTCAATAGTACGTACTTGCACAGGTCATACCCCCAGGGCATCCTGAGAAGTATAGTTCTGTAATGGGGAAGGATCTCTGAGAATAAGCATCTGCTTCACCAAACTGCAGTAACCAGAATCCTTTGTAGGGAGCCAGGGCAGTTACATTGGTACAGATTTTTAAGAGAAACTTTTGCCCTGTATTATGTTCCTGTTTACTTGAAACACTCAGGACTGGCATGCCCTTGGGGACTCACATTTGACCACCCCTCCATGAAGTATACAGGTTAAATATAAAACCTCTTGATTTGAGATTTTGTAACAAGGCAAATTAGAAATAATCATAACAAAACTGGCAAACTGACGCTTTTAAAATGGGTTCACCATTTTTCAGCCTTGAAATTCATTGTTGTTGTTGTTTTAAAAAATACAAATCAGACCAGATCTGATAGACACAATACTCAGTACACAAGACAAAAAGGCCCTCATACTGAAAAACAAAAAGGAAAGAGAAAGAGAAAATCTTGGAGCTGGATGCAAGTTAAATGCTCTCAAAATCATTTCACCTTGTCGATGAAGGAGGCAAACTTGTTGTTGAGGGTCTTGATCTGCTCCCTTTCTTCAGTCCTCACTTTTTGGATCTCCGGGTCTATCTCCAGGTTGAGGGGCTGCAGGAGGTGCTGGTTGATGGTCACCTCTTTGATGCCTCCTGGCGGACACCCTGGGAATGGAGGGCAGATTGCAAGTCCACCTGGACCGCCAAAGCCACCGCCAAAGCCACCGCCAAGGCCACCACCTGCTCCAAAGCCCCCAGCCCCTTGGCCACAGGCGCCACCGAAACCCCCGCCAAAGCCACCGCCACCATATCCACCATAGGAGATTCTTTTGCTGCCCCCCATGCTATGCAGGCTCCTGCTGCCAAAGCCACCGCCTCCGCTACGGACATTACATCCACGGGACATGGAAGCAGTGTTGAAGCTGACTTTGTTTCCACCCCCAAAGCAGACAGAGCTGGAACTGAAACCCTTGTTCTGAAACCCTCCTCCAATGCTCCGGGCACAGGACTGGCGAGACATGGCTAGAGGAGAGGTTGTCTTGCTGGTAGTGTAAGGAGTGATGTTCCAAGGAAGAGTTCCCAGTAATGAATGAAACTGAGCCCCTCTGGCAGGAGGGAGGAAGATCTACCTTTTTATCCGTTCGGAGAGTTGGCTGGGTGACAGGGGAGTGGAGGAAAAAAAGTAGTCATTTTTTTATATTGTATTCTTGAGCTTAGGTGTGCTTGGCACCCTCCCTCTTGCTCTGTGCCAGAAACTGACCTTCCCTGGAACACACCCCAAAGAGCTGGAGAAGAACCTGCAGCTTGACAGTGAACTCCTGGCGACCCCAGATTACCTGCATCACCCTTCTGTCAACTAAGACTAGATTTCTCTGTGAGCCTTGCCTGAATGGCAGGGCATGGCAGGTTCCCTTGACATTCTTTTGCCCTGCAGGGAAAATAATCCCCTGGCTGAGATATCCCCATCACTCCCTTTTCTGAAACTTGATGGCAGATGGCTCCTTTCAGAGGGTTCCAAAATTAACCTTCTGACATGCAGAGTTCACTTTTTTAAAAAAATAACACACCCACAATTGCACCAAACATCTGGGCATTTCTTCTTGGAATAAAAGAAATAAATCCAACATCAAATCTGACTTTCAGATTTCTCAAAGGGGCGGGAGGTTGGGTAGAGAAAAAGACACTTCCTCAATTTGAAACGCCAAATAAATGACAATATTCAGCCAAGCAGGAAAGAACTTGTAGCTTGCCAGGCCTCTTGTGGGCTTTACAACATTTTTACCCGGCTCTTCCTCCAAGGAGCTCAAGGTGGCATGTTTGATTCTTTTCTCCCCTCGATCACTTTTATTTTCAAAGCAATCATTCATTCATTCACTGTGTATATTTATTCTTTATTTTTAAATGTTATATCCCCTCTATATAGCTGGGATCTATATTAGCACGATTATCTATATAGCTCTATCAGCGTGCATGTCACTTTGCAGAAAATAATAATAATAATAATAATAATAATAATAATAATAATAATAATAATAACAACAATAATAATAAATTATTTATATCCCGCCCTCCCCAGCCGAAGCCGGGCTCAGAGTGGCTAACAACAGTAAAATAATACAGCATTCTAAAATCAATTCATTATAAAATCAGTTCAAATCAAATTAATGGCAACCATTGGGCTAGAGTTCTGTGAGAATTACCAAAGGAGGCCTTTGGTCAGGCTGTGCCTTGGCCAAAGGCCTGGTGGAACAGCTCTGTCTTGCAGGCCCTGCAGAAAGATGTCAAGTCCCGCATGGCCCTAGTCTCTTGTGACAGAGCGTTCCACCAGATCGGAGCCACAGCTGAAAAAGCCCTCGCTCTGGTTGAGGCCAGGCTAACCTCCAATATGTTTTTGTTTGAGGGCCGTAAGGTCCTCCGTGGGACATACCAGGAGAGGCGGTCCCGTAGGCTCTGCCCCAAGGAGTCTACCATTTTAAATGCAGCACAGTTAAAATTTAAATAGGACAGAGATTTGAACAATCCCAAATCCCATATGTTTCAATCTGCCTGGATACGGCAGGAATGCAGGAAAAACTGCCTTATTTAAGAGAATGAAAAAGCAGCGATACATTATAGGATGGGAAGGAGATTTGCTTCAGTTTGCATTCAAAGATTAATCTACCTAATCTGCACTTTTTGAAACTGTATATGAACAGAAGCACAACCTTCCTTGGACATTTGAACTTCTCTGAATTTTGCTGTGCAGTTTACCAGCCAAATGATGGACACAAAAAATGCATACACTAGAGTAAAGTGTGCATAAATGCAAAAGTTAGTAAAAACAGCATACAAAAGCACATTCTGTTGGGGCGATAACTTGCCAAAATAGGCATATCAGTGATAACTGCATGCCAAAAAATGTATTAGGATTATGACAAAAAAAATCAAACTGATGCAGAAATGTGGAAAACAGCACTTATGACTGGAAACTGAGAGAAACTAACATAAGAGAGATTTGCCCATCCCTAATGTTAGAGAGAGAGAAAGGTAGAACAATGGGATACTTGACTCATCACAAGTCAGGGAGCATTACAGCTGGTATATGAACTGTTGAAAATTCTATTCACATTGAATCACAATGCACTTATTCAGGTAAGTGTTACAGTTCATTCACTGCGATAAGCCCAGAAAGCTGTCGAATTGGAGCTTTAGTCCTCCGATTGACAGACCTGACAAGTGGTGACAGAGCACCAGTAGTGCTCACCTGCACCTCCCAGTGAAAACCACTCCAATATGTCATCAACCATCCACAGCCCATCCAGGCACTGGCATGACACCATGACAAGCCTTGGATGGTAGGCTAAAATGGCTACTGCCTCAAATCAGGTCACCCAGCAGAGACACAAAGACCATACCTAGGTGCCCAAGAGTGAAGGCACCTGAAAGGCTAGCTTATTCATTGTGGCCGCAGAAATGCACAGGGAATAAAGGTGCCAGTCTTTGAGGTGCTATAAGATTTTTGGTTGTTTGGGACAAGGAGCGTCCCTGGTTCACCGTGAGGAATCAGACCTTGCCAGCCATTTTCTCCCATCCAGCCTGAGAAAAGGGTAAGGCACTTCAGGTGGGAGCAATTTGGAGCGGAGACAGTGAAGAAAGGTGTAATTTTCTTTTCCCCTGCTTCTCCATTCAAAATTGCTTCCCACATGGTTTCTCTTTCTCTAACACACACACTTGGAATCCTCCCACCCAGGGTAGACTAGAGAGCCGTCTGAGGCTACAAGCAGAGGCTTGTAGTCAACCTTAGCCCTACTCAGAGCAGACCCATTGAATTTAATGGGCATGACTAACTTCAATGAGACAGCTCTGCATGAAATTTAGCTGGATGCAACCAAGGGAAGGGATTATAAGCATCTACCTCTCCCTCCCTGCCCATCACACCTTCTCATAACATAAAGGAGGGAAGTCTATCATGAGTTGGTTTACTGGTGTTTAAATATCTAATTTGGCCCTGAGCGGCTAACAGGGGTGCTGCTGGCAATATTTTTATGGTGGGTTCCAGATCTCTGACCCTTCCTCTTAATGTGTGCATGTGTGTATGTAAACTGCAGTGCCAACGAGACCTCAGCTACCTGCCATTTCTTGAGCGGCTGCATATTTCTGCAGAAAGGAGAGGAAGGAGAGAGAGAAAAGGCTAATTGCTTGTTTCCATTTTAATTTATACTTTAATTACCCCTTGTCAAGCTTGTCCTTGACCTTCCCAACCAGCGTCTCACAAAAAAACATACGTATGCAGGCACAAACACAAACTTTCTCAAGATCTGTGCTCTGCTGGTAATTCAGCAATGGAAGGATCTCCTGTGCATTGCTAGGGCTCATCCAAACTTCCACTGGTCCCATGCGTAGAAATCAAGGGCTCGAGTGGTTTCTCCCTTGCCTCACTCTTTTCCAAGAGAAAATTCACTCTTTAGCTTTAAATCAGAACAAATGGCAAACTGCAGAAAACCTGGCTGCTGTTTGCTCTGATTGAGCATTAAAGAATGCAAAGCAGTGGATAAGGGGAAATGTGGATGAGCCCCAAGTTTTTTCATTCAAAGTGCAACACACAACAGAGTGTCTTGTGCCCTTGGAAAGATGGTTTTTCTGGGTGGTTTTTACATTGTGCAGCCAAAATCCAAAGGAGTTCAATGCTCCTGAAATCCATGGGAGGAATTCAATAAGGTGGAAGTTCCTTCCTTCCAAATCTCTTCAGACCTCTATAACTCCCATGATCCCTAGCCAGCATGACCAGTAGTCAGGGATGATGGGAATCGTAGTCTCAAAACATCTGGAGGGCCAAGGTTGAGGAAGCCTGTTTTAAACCATCACTTTCTCCTCTCAGTGTCCGTCCCCCCTTTGCTCCCCTACCCCAACCTGACTTTGTGCAAATCCAGGTCTGTGATACGGCGCTACAAATACTCCAATGGGGACTGTACGATGGTAGGCTAGTGCAAGCATAATATAGAAAGATGTGTTGCATTTATAACCCACTCTTCCTCTGAAGCCCTCAGAGAAAATGCTTCTCCATTTTATTCTCTCAGCAACCCTGTGGAAAGAAGGGAGACCATCTCAGGGTAGCCCAGGGATCTTGTCCATGTTCCAACTCTCTATACACCACATCTTGTTGAACCCCAGAGAAGCTCATTTGAGCAGGTGTATTGCTAAAACAAAGATAGCCCAGATGTTGTGGACTCCAACTCCTATCATTCGTGCTGGCTCAGTCTGTAGAGCATGAGACTCTTCATCTCAGGGTTGTGGGTTTGAGCTCCACATTGAACAAAAGGTCCCTGCATTGCAGTAGGTTCGACTAGAAGACCATTGTAATCCCTTCCAACTTTTCAGTTCTATGAATTTATCATTCTGTTTTCCAGGATGACTGGGGGTATTGTGAGTTGTAATCCAGCAACGTCAAGAGGGCACCATGTTTGTTGCTCACACAAACGCTTAACATTTATTTAGGACTTGTTTTTTGCATCTCCTTATCGATTCAGACAGGGATGCGGGTGGCGCTGTGGGTTAAACCACAGAGCCTAGGACTTGCTGATCAGAAGGTCGGTGGTTTGAATCCCCGCGATGGGGTGAGCTCCCGTTGCTCGGTCCCTGCTCCTGCCAACCTAGCAGTTCGAAAGCACGTCAAAGTGCAAGTAGATAAATAGGTACCGCTCCGGTGGGAAGGTAAATGGCGTTTCCGTGCACTGCTCTGGTTCGCCAGAAGCAGCTTAGTCATGCTGGCCACATGACCTGGAAGCTGTACGCTGGCTCACTTGGCCAATAAAGCAAGATGAGCGCCGCAACCCCAGAGTCGGTCATGACTGGACCTAATGGTCAGGGGTCCCTTTACCTTTACCTTATCGATTCAGACATATTGAGCCAAATTCAACTAAATGTTTGCACAAGTGGGAGCCCGAGCAACAAGCCCCACTAGTGCAATGGGGTTTTCCCTCCTCCTCCCATCATGCCCCTGCCCACCAAATCAGCTCTGGGCAATCAAGAGAACCCATCGCATTGATGGAGCCATCTCCTTAACGCTAATTTGGGTCCCACCCATTACCCCAAGGATGATTACAACAACCCAGCAAAGGCTACATTTATCTTTCTTAAATGTATGTCACTTTTCTACATACTGGTGACAGCCCTCCTG